AGAGCTAGAACCAAAGATGGGTGAGTTCTGCTCTGCAACTCTGACCTCCTCAGGTAGCACTTCCATCAGCAACATCAAAACATCATTTGAAATCCCAAACATTTGAAAAGACATGTATAAAGTCCTGTGCTGGATGCCTCAGGGGAGAGGATTGGGAGGTGGCAGGTGGTGGTGGTGGTGGGGCGTGGGGAGGGATAGGGAAAGTTCTAAGTTTAGAACCTAAACACAATCAAGTCCAGGAACAACCAAAGATGTAAAGAGCACAATACAATAGTTGATGTTAGAGGATGATATATAATTAGTAACCAAAGAATGATTAGCCATTGCCATAAACTTTCCAAGGAGGAAGAAAATTATACTGTGCCTTTGTCTAGCACTTAGCTGTTTTCACTGCTGTCTTGTATGTTGTTGTCTTCTTTTTAAGATGTATTTATTTATTTATGCATATGAGAGATGGGGTGTAGGCCAGGGTGGGGGAGAGGTGTTTGAGAGGATTCAGCAGAGACAGAGTGGGGAGCAGAACAGATGGATTTACTGAAATATACTGCTAAGGGGAGCAGCAGGTGAAACAGAAGAGGTCTGCTTTGCCATGTGGGTTAACTCTCTGGCCAGGGATAGAACTCATGTTGCAGTGGCTGTGGATAACTTCGTAGTGCTGAGACTTAACCCCTTGTACCACCAGGGAGTGTGGGGGGTACAGGCCCTGTATGTTGTCTTCTTTGGCATGGTCATGGAGAGCTGTAAGAGGAAGTGAGAGGGCCAGAGCACTGTGGGGACCTGTCCCCATCTTGAGAAGCATCCCGCTTGGTGGGAGGGGTGCAGGAGTTTGTGAATCTACCACATTTGCTCCATAAATGAATTCCTCTTGCCTGTGAGTAGGCTCGTCAACAGGGAGGAGAAAGAGCTGGTCTGGGACTACCTTAACTGCAGGTGTCAGGCACCTTGCTTAGTTTCTCTCTGCCTTGATCTATTCCTCTATGCAATTAGATGTATAAATAACCTTTGGTCCATTCCAAGTTCTTTGGTTCTAAGCATCCTGCAAGGATCTATTTCTGCAAAATCAGATTTTCAGCTATTAGCTTGCATCTTTATTTAGGGTATTCTTTCCCTTATTTGTCCTAAACATTTATCTTGACATTTTTATGATCATATTTTCTCATTTGAACTCAGTGTCCTTGGACTGGAAACATTCCTAATTTGTAGGTAGAGCTGGAAAAATTAGGGGTTTCTGTGATCCTGTTCTCTGCACAGCTGTTTTCAACACAGAGTACCCAACGCAACTACTATGTGCCAGGAATGTGGGGGTATTAAGAGAATTAGAACTAGTGCTGTCTCCAAGGAGGCTTTGGGGAATCCCAGTCATTTCTGGGGTGTGCCCACCAGTAAAAGTGTGTTGAAAAGAAAGGAATGCCGAAAGCTAGATTGGGAAAGAAATCTGCATGAGGTTGAAATGTCCCCTGGGAAGAAGGAAGAGTCTTCACTATTTTGTACTTAAATCCTCTTGGCTGTATAGTCCCAGGAGAGAAAAGAGATCTCCTACAGGTCCTCCATCTCAGTCCTGTGGGGTTGGGGTGGGGGGCTGGTACTCAGTGCTTCTTGCCACTGAGATACTTCAGGAGCAGAAGGGGGAAATGGGAGTATTCAAGTTATGATCCAAGACCCTGAACTTAAGAGATATCAGGTTTTCTGTGGTTTCTTAGGCCAAATATGACCATTGTCTTGTTGGCAAGCACTGATCATCAGGAAAGGATGTGTGTGTGGGGAGGAAGCATGTCACCTTCCTGCTCATCTGCAGATCTCCTTTCTGAGGGTTACATTCAGGGTGAGTGTCAGCCCAGAAAAAGGAGGAGGAGTGGGAAATTTCTCTGACTGTCAAGGCAGGCCAACCGAACCCCTCTTCTTTCTCTCCAACAGCTGAGCACCAGCTGCCTCTCACCCAGGAGCTCCCCTGGTTTCATCAGAGCACCTCTTCCAGAATACCTTGTGGTCCAGGGAGGAAGAGTGACTGAGTGCTGTTATGAGGTTCTTTTGCCATGAACTCACAGGCTGTCTTGATTCATCAGGAACCTCCCAGATTCCCACACACAGCCTTTCCCTTGAGGGGAGTTCAGGGCTGAGGGCCTATCCCAGATCTGCCTCCTACTCTCCAGGGCAACAGCCTTGCTCAGGGAGGTGATGTCTTGCTCCTCCTTTTTCTACCCCTGAGCATCAAGGCCAGCTCACCTTTTCCCAGAAGCCTGCTCCTGCGCCCATGTTGGACTTCAGCATCTCCCACAGAGAAGCCCTGTGCCCAGGGCCAAGATCCCACACACTGATCCTTCTCATTTCTTTCTCTGTGCCTCATCCCCTCTCCTGAACCCAGGAAAGGTGATGGTTTCTATCTTGCCTGTTGCCAGCAGGCTTAGGCTTCAGATGACACTTATAACCTCCCCCCCTCCTCCCTCCTCCCACTGATCACCCTTTTGACACTCTCTTGTAGATTGACTACTGTGCCTAAGATGCTGGGTTTGACTAGATGAGGGGTGCAGAGAATATTAGGAACTGAGAGCCAGGACCTGTGCACATGGTGCTTTCAGACGAAATGAAGTGAGTCACGAATAAAAACCACAGCAAAGCAGTCCAGGGCAAGTGCTGCTGGCCTAAGGAAGTTCCGAGGAGGCAGAGTATTCCAAGGTGCTCCATCTCTGCCCAGCCTCCAGGGCCCAGCACAGGCACAGCACCTTTGAGGAAGCCCTCCTTGATTCTGCCTAGCCTCCATGAAAGGTGTCTGCAGTGCTCTGCTAGACTGCCTTACGTTTTGAGAAAAGGGAGAGGCAACTGTTAGTTGGGTTCAGTTTTCACAAGCATTAATTGAATTCTCTTATTTTTGTCAGTCTCTTAATACCTTGTAAATGAGCCCAGAATAGGTGCTCAATCCTTAAAATCTTAGAATTTTAGAGAAGAAATTTTCTGTTTACTTTTTTTTTTTAAAGATTTATTTATTTGTGCATACAGAACTGTGGTACAGGCCAGAGGCTCAGGGGCGTTGAGAGGCTTCACCAGAGACAGAGTGGGGAGCAGAACAGGCAGATCCACGAAGTACACTGCTGAGGGGAGCAGCGGGAGGGTCAGGAGAGGTCTGCTGCACCATGTGGTCACCTCCGGGGCAGGCGGGAATCGAACTCATGCGGAAGTGGCTTTAGATTCTCAGTGCTGTGCTTTAACCCGCTGCGCCACCAGGGAGGGCCCTTCTGTTTACTTTTTTAATGTCAACATGCACAGCCACTCCTTACAAAAACAACTCAAAAATGTCTCCATAAGTGCATCCATGGCAAAGAATTTGGAGTGTCAATGTGGGGAGGGGATCCTTTGAGACCATCTAAGTTCAGCACCCAGTTTACAAATGAGAACATTAAGGTGGTTAATGCCTGCGGCATTAAGTGATTTGCTCAAGGTCAAATGTCTAGAGCATGGCATGAGCTTGTGTTCTAGCATCCTTCCCAAGAAGCCTGGAGCAGTAGTGGGGTACTCTGTATCAAGCACATGTGTTCTGACAGAGAAGAAAAGAAAATGCTAATACTACAGGTCATAAATTGTTTGGTTCCCACTTCAGATGTCCACTTTGGGTTCGCAGTCACAAAGCTTTATTGTAATCGCAAAACAATCGAATTACTTGCAAAAATACTACCTCCTTAAATATTTGAAATGAGAATGGAAAAAAAAAAGTTAAAATACAGGGAGGGCGGGGGAGGAAAGTGAGCTAAGTTGAATTAAATAGTGATTGTGTACTATGTCCAGGGAGGGGACAAGTGACTTGGAAAGTCCATTTTCCAGACCAGAGGGATGGGTGTTGAGAAAGTCAGAACTGCGGCCAATGATGAGCTTCCCGCTCCCCCCCTCGCTCGCCCCCAGAATTTTCCCACCATTGTTTGAGCCCTTCCCTCCTCCCCAGCTCGGGAGGACCCTAGGGGAACCCTGGACTGAAGGCAGAGGTGTTGTGGAGTCTTGTCCCCTTAATGGCAGACGATGTCACAGGTTAGTTACACAGGCCCAGATCGATGGATGGACGACTCAGGCAGTGGATCAATCACATTTCCGGGGAGAATTAAACCCTTTGTGAACCAGTGGGGCAGGTGGTTCATCTAGAGAGGCTCTGGCTGGAAGGATTTAATCCTGGCCCCCTCCCCATTCTTCTGACCCTCCTGAGGGCTGGGGGCTTGGGGTGGGGCTGGACAGTTACAGCAGGATAATAAACTACTTTTCATTAAAGAGTTCGGGGAGAGGAGTGGGAGGTGGACCTAAA